ACTATTTAAAATGATCTTTTGGGCTGGGCGTGGTGGCTCACACCTGTAATCCCAGCACTTTGGGAGGCTGAGGCAGGTGGATCACCTGAGGTCAGGAGCTCAAGACCAGCCTGGCCAACATGGCAAAACTCCATCTCTACTAAAAATACAAAAATTAGGGGGCCAGGCCCGCTGGTTCATGCCTGTAATCCCGGCATTTTAGGAGGCCAAAGTAGGGAGTGGATTACGAGGTCAGGAGATCGAGACCATCCTGGGTAAAACAGTGAAACCCCATCTCTACTAAAAATACAAAAAAATTAGCTGGGCTTGGTGGCACGTGCCTGTAGTCCCAGCTACTTGGGATGTGGAGGCAGGAGAATCACTTGAACCCAGGAGGCAGAGGTTGCAGTGAGCCGAGATCACACCACTGCACTCCAGCCAGGGCAACAGAGCAAAACCCTGTCTCAAAAAAAAAAAAAAAAAAAAAAGTGGCCAGGCGTGGTGGAGGGCACCTGTAATTCCAGCTACTCAGGAGGCTGAGGCAGGATAATTGCTTGAACCCAGGAAGTGGAGGTTCCCATGAGCCAAGATTATGCCACTTCACTCCAGCCTAGGCGACAGAGTGAGACTCTGTCTCAAAAAATAAATAAATAGCCGGGCGCGGTGGCTCAAGCCTGTAATCCCAGCACTTTGGGAGGGCGAGGCGGGTGGATCATAAGGTCAAGAGATCGAGACCATCCTGGTCAACATGGTGAAACCCCGTCTCTACTAAAAATACAAAAAATTAGCTGGGCATGGTGGCACGTGCCTGTAATCCCAGCTACTCAGGAGGCTGAGGCAGGAGAATTGCCTGAACCCAGGAGGCGGAGGTTGCGGTGAGCTGAGATCGCGCCATTGCACTCCAGCCTGGGTAACAAGAGCGAAACTCCGTCTCAAATAAATAAATAAATAAATAAATAGGCCAGATGCGATGGCTCACACCTATAATCACAGCACTTTTTTTTTTTTTTTGCAGATTGAGAGCAGCTTGACATGGAGAAACCCCATCTCTACTAAAAATACAAATTAGCCTGGTGTAGTGACACATGCCTGTAATCTCAGCTACTTGGGAGTCTGAGGCAGGAGAATTACTTGAACCCAGGAGGCAGAGGTTGCAGTGAGCTGAGATCACGCCATTGCAATCCAGCCTGGGCAACAAGAATGAAACTCTGTCTTAAAAAAAAAATGGCTGGTCTAGGTGGTTCACGCCTATAATCCCAGCACTTTGGGAGGCCAAGGCGGGTAGATCACCTGAGGTCAGGAGTTCTAGACCAGCCTGGCCAACACTGTGAAATCCCATCTCTACTAAAAATACAAAAATTAGCTGGGCATGGTAGCAGGTGCCTGTATTCCCAGCTACTTGGGAGGCTGAGGCGGGAGAATTGCTTGAACCTGGGAGGTGGAGGTTGCAGTGAGCCAAGATCACGCCACTGCTGTCCAACCTGGGCAACAGAGTGAGACTCTGTCTCAAATAAGCAAGCAAACAAACAAACAAATAAAAATGATCTTTTGGATGGGTGCGGTGGCTCATGGCTGTAATCCCAACACATTGGGAGGCCGAGGCAGGCAGACTGTTTGAGGTCAATAGTTTGAGACCAGCCTGGCCAACGTGGTAAAACCTCATCTCTACTAAAAATAGAAAAAATTAGCTGGGTGTGGTGGCGGGCACCTGTAATCCCAGTTACCCGGGAGGCTGAGGCAGGAGAATTGCTTGAACCCAGGAGGCGGAGGTTGTTGCAGTGAGCCAAGATCATGCCATTGCATTCCAGCTTGGATGACAATAGAGACTCTGTGTCAAAAAAAAAAAAAAAAAAAAAAATTAGATGGGCATGGTGGCACATGCTTGTAATCCCAACTACTTAGGAGGCTGAGGGAGGAGAATTGCCTCAGTCAAGGAGGTGGAGGTTGCAGTGAGCCCAGTTTGCTCCTCTGCACTCTAGTCTGGGGGACAGAATGAGACTCTGTCTCAAAATATAAATAAAATAAAATAATCTTTTAGTCCGGGGGTGGTGACTCATGCCTAGAATCCCAGCACTTTGGAAGGCTGAGGCGGGTGGGTCACAGGATGCCAGGAGTTTGAGACCAACCTGGCCAACATAGTGAAACACCATCTCTATTCAAAATACAAAAATAGGGCCAGGCACAGTAGGTCATACCTGTAAATCCCAGCACTTTGGGAGGCTGAGGCTGTCAGATCAATTGAGGTTAGGAGTTTGAAACCAGCCTGGCCAACATGGTGAAACCCTGTCTCTACTAAAAATACAAAATCTAGCTGGGCATGGTGATGGGTGCCTCTAATCCAGCTACTCAGGATGCTGAGGCAGAACTGTCTGAGCCTGGGAGGCAGAGGCTGTAGTGAGCTGAGATTGAACCACTGCACTCCAGCCTAGGGCAACAGAGCGAGACCCTGTCTCAAGAAAAATAAAAATAGGCTGGGCGTGGTGGCTGACGCCTGTAATCCCAGCCCTTTGGGAGGCTGAAGAGGGCAGGTCACCTGAGGTCAGGAGTTCGAGACCAGTCTGGCCAACATGGTGAAACACCCCCCCCCCCGCCATCTCTACGAAAAATACAAAATTATCAGGTATGTCTTTATTAGCAGATAAACAAAATTACAAAATTAGTTGGGCCTGGTAGTGGGCGCCTGTAATCCCAGCTACTTGGGAGGATGAGGCAGGAGATATTGCTTGAACCCAGGAGGTCGAGGTTGCAATGGGCCAAGACTGTACCATTGCACTCCAGCCTCTGTGAAAAGAGTGAAACTCCGTCACATAAAAAAGAAAATTAAAAAATAAAATGAGCCGGCCGGGCGCGGTGGCTCAAGCCTGTAATCCCAGCACTTTGGGAGGCCGAGGCGGGTGGATCACGAGGTCAAGAGATCGAGACCATCCTGGTCAACATGGTGAAACCCCGTCTCTGCTAAAACTACAAAAAATTAGCTGGGCATGGTGGTGCGTGCCTGTAATCCCAGCGACTCAGGAGGCTGAGGCAGGAGAATTGCCTGAACCCAGGAGGCGGAGGTTGCGGTGAGCCGAGATTGCGCCATTGCACTCCAGCCTGGGTAACAAGAGGGAAACTCCGTCTCAAAAAAAAATAATAAAATGAGCCGACTTCTCTGCCGGGTGACACGCCGTTTCCTTTCTCTACTCGAGAGCGGTGTGGTGGCAGCAGGCGCGGCCTCCAGATGCAGAACGACGCCAGCAAGTTCGTGGACCTGTACGTGCCACGGAAATGCTCCGCCAGCAACCGCATCATCGGTGCCAAGGACCACGCATCCATCCAGATGAACGTGGCCAAAGTTGACAAGATCACAGATAGGTTTAACGGCCAGTTTAAAACTTAACGCTATCTGCGGGGCCACACGTAGGATGGGTGAGTCAGATGATTCCATTTTCCGATTGGCCAAGGCTGATGGCATCGTCTCAAAGAACTTTTGACTGGAGAGAATCGCAGATGTGGCCTATTTGTCATAAATAAATAGGGAAAACCTAAAAAAAAAATAAAAATAATAAAACAGTTTTTTAAATAATGTCTTGTTTCTTCCCTAAATAATGCAGGGAAGGAGCTGTGTCTTTGCAGCCATATCCTTGGGGGATCCCAAACAGCAGCAGGCATAGTGCTCAATGAATGCTGAATTCATAAATTTCGGAGAAAGCAAACACCCCTATGTATTTATGGAAGCTGTAAGGCACGTTGGAGTTTATGGCAGCAGCTCCTTCATTTGACAGCTAGGGAAGTTGAAGGACAGAGAGCTGAAGTGACGTGCCAAGTGACACAGTGACTGTGTGACAAAAGTATCCCTTTCTACCTTTCCCAGTGCTTTCACATATATCACTTTATTTTGCTTTCCTATTTTCCTGGTGCTTTGGCGGGGTCCTTGGGCAATGGTTGGCTATCCAAAACCTTTTCAGGTACCAAAGAGAGGATGGATGAGTGATCTCGTCCCACACTTCTGGGAGGGGCTCCAGGCAAAAGCATTACTGGACACTTTCCCTGAGTCCAAAGCAATGACTCTCCTGAACAACTGCTTCTCTGGGACTTAATGACTGAGCCCCTCCCTGAGAGGGGAACAGTGCATACTTTCTTCCTTGGGGTTAAGGTAGCCATTTAGTGTTTGCCCTGCAATTACATTGCTGGCTGACCTTGGGCGGCAAGTAAGTGACCCACTTCCCCTTTTGCCCCATCTGTAAAATGCGTGGGTGTGAAGTACTAGGATATTTGCGGTCCTGGAAGGTTTTCCCACTAACCCAGTTAGTTGGTCGGAGTTTTGCCTGAGGTTTATTTATTTTTTTGTTTTTCTTCCTGAGGGTTTTGAATACTGGAATATTCAATAAACTCTTCTTTCTTTTTTGAGATGGAGTCTCGTTCTGTAGCCCAGGATGGAGTGCAGTGGCACGATCTCGGCTCATCGCAACCTCCGCTTCCCAGGTTCAAGTGATTCTCCTGCCTTAGACTCCCGAGTAGCTGGGATTACAGGCGCCCGCCACCACGGCCGGCTAGTTTTGTATTTTTAATAGAGACGAGGTTTTTCAATGTTGGCCATTCTCGTCTCGAACCCCCGACCTAAAGTGATCTGCCCACCTCGGCCTTCGAAAATGCTGGGATTACAGGCGTGAGCTACCGCGCCTGGCCTGGCCTAAACCTTTCAAACCTGAGAATGAATGGATCAAAATGCTGGAGGGGTCCGGGTGCTGGAGTTGCCAAACTGCTGGCCTACTCAGGTTTCCCGGCTCATAAGGGGAGGTCCAGGGGTCAAATGTCGGGTTCCGGTCAAGCCCGCAGGGAACCGGAAGTCCCAGATCCGGTAGGCTCAGAGCCCAGGGCTTCACCCGGCGACTCACGCTCCGGAGGCGGAGCTTCAGCAGCAGAAGGGGGAGGAGTCTGGGTCCCCCCAATGGCAGCTCGGGTGTCTTCCACCACAGCCAACCAACGCCGGGAGACGGTCAAATTTAAACCCCCTCCCATCTCCTCCGCCGGGACCTGTCGGGAAAGCGTTTGTAGAAAGTGAGGCTGCTGGACCCGCCCCCGCCGACGAGGCGGGGAGTAGGGCGGTGCCTCCCTCCGAGTTCACCTATCGGGAAGGGCAGTCTGCGGAGAGGCGGGCGGCGGCACCAATCCGGTCGAGCAGCTGGAGTCCGGCGGAGCAGTTGGCTGCAGTTGTTGCAACTTTTTTCGAAAGCCGGGTTTCCCGGGAGATTCCAGGCGGTGACAGAGTGGGACCATGGCTAGAGGTATTTGCCCAAGTGGCCGGCGCCGGGGCGTCTGGGTTGGGGGTCGCGCTGGAGGGATGGGGGCCGGGGTGGCGGTAGCCGCTGCGGGTAGTGTCCTCCTGCGGGTGGTTCGGAGCGAGCTCGGGGACCCTCGTGGTGAGAGTAAGGGTCCTGCTGCGGAACCCTCCCGACCCCCCTGCGGCTCCCAAATCCCCCAGAAACCTTTTTCACTGCCGTGCTTCTGTTTCCCCTCTATGAAGTGAGCACCTGCGGGACTGCCTCTCCACGGCAGTGGGTCCATATGTCAGAGCTCTTTGCAAACTAAAGCGCAGGGCACCTCCAGGGAATAGGTGTTATTGATAGAAGTGGAGCGGGGGCGGGAGTGAGGCTTCGTCCACTTTGGGGCTGTCTCTCGTTGGGAAAGGAGGTGTTCTCTAGGCGAGGGCACAGATAACCTGCATCTTGGGGAGCGTGTCAGGGTGGACACCGCGGCAGGTGCCTTTCCTTCCTCCCCACGTCCTGAGTCAGCTCTGTGCTGCGGAGCGATGACCAGGCCCCGCTGGCCCACTTTGGGATGAAACGGGTTTCTCGTACCTCGCGGGCGGGGTCCTTCACCCTGCATCTGGTCAGGACTTCGCCCCGCCCCCGGTAGATGGCTTGGGTGGGCTTGTACAGCCCTGGGAGACGATGTCCTGCCTGAAGCCCTTTGCATACTTAGTTGGCTGTCTGGACAGTGCAACCCAGGTATGCGGCAAAGAGATCTCCAACTGCTTGGTCATTTCCAGCCACTGCGTCTCTTTCACGCTAAAGGGACGCTCAAAAACTTGAGCGTGAAAGTTGAGTAGAATTATTGTTAAAAAAAAATAATAAGTTGGAGTATTATATTTTTCTCAAAATTTCAAGGCATCAAGTGTTAGTAGGAATTTGCTTTAGTGCAGTATGCTCCCTATAGCAATAATAATGAATAAAATAATGATTCATTCAGCAAATATTTATTGGGTCCCTTTGTTTTCAGGCCCTGAAGTCAGTTGCATCATTTATTCTCCCAGCATCCCTAGAGGGTCTTTTTTGATAAGACTTACCCAAAGCCTGATGAAAAAATGAGGCATAGTGAACTTCAGGTTAAAGAGCTTCATCACCCAGCTCATGAAAAAAATTAAGACTAATATTTTCCCTTAGAAAAGTGTTAAGCATGTAAAAGTATATTTTATCTGACAAATTTTAATAAAACTGTGCTTCCTGGGTTCATTTTTCTCAACACAGCAAAATCATTTAAACTACTTGTCTTAAAAGTAGTGCATTAAGGCCGGGTGCGGTGGCTCAAGCCTGTAATCCCAGCACTTTGGGAGGCCGAGGCGGGTGGATCACGAGGTCAAGAGATCGAGACCATCCTGGTCAACATGGTGAAACCCCGTCTCTACTAAAAATACAAAAAATTAGCTGGGCATGGTGGTGCGTGCCTGTAATCCCAGCTACTCAGGAGGCTGAGACAGGAGAATTGCCTGAACCCAGGAGGCGGAGGTTGCGGTGAGCCGAGATCGCGCCATTGCACTCCA